CCCTCAGTTTTAGTTTGTAACCCGGATTTGTTTTTATCTCTATCGATTTATGAGTTTCGAACAGCGGTATACTGCTGTTGCCTTTATTTATTTCTGTATCAAGCTTGAATATTGTGTCCATTTTTGCCCCAACTGTTCAGGGTTGGACTTCCTTCTTCTATACGTATTAACTTCCATGGAACACCTCATTGGAATTAATTCCGGATTAGGAGTTATAAAAAAGTTTATGTCACACACATAAAAGTTTCTAGTAAAACTATGAATATATACACTAAAATCCAAAGTTCACAGATTAAAATATAAAAAAAAAGAAATCACTTAAGCTTGATACAATAAGGAAAAAAAAGCGGGACACCCCTGCCTCTACCTCATCACATATGTACAAACAGCTCATATCACAAATAGTCAATATATACGGTTTCACTTTATTTACAGTTAATTAGACGGATTTATGATTTCTGCAAAATGCAAGTTCTCTGGGTATGCAACCTATAGCACATATCGGTAGACATTTTCTGAATTTTGTCTAAATCGGAACAACTGTTAATCTCGGGCAACAAAAACGTACTGTCAATAATCAACTTAACTATATCTGATTGTTTATTTAATCTTGCGATCCATCCTGACGTGCCAATAATGGAGATCACTAAGGCCTTTAGATTAGAGAATGTCTCTTTTCTCTGCTGATGTAATGCAGGACAGAGAAGTGAAAAGTGTGTTTAGTCCTCATTAGATGTTCCACAGCATCTGCATAAAGAAGACTCTTTTCCACCACTAAATTTGTTTTTATTTGACTCAAAGAGGTAAGTTCCAGTTAAAAGACGTATTTTTATTGCCCCTTTCTTAACATCTGAAATTGTTGATGATAAGCTGGTCCAAACAGGATGTACAGATCCGATTTTTAAGACCGTTCTATCCAGGTGTACCAAAGTAGTTTTGGATTCAATTTCTTTGAGAAAAAATTTTGACCAATAATCTTGGAGAGCCAGTTTTACAGAGGATTTCCATTTTAGTTTTGATGGTGGCCGTTGCTTTAGTGAATCAATGCTTGGCAAATCATACAAGGTTAACGTACCTGCGACCTTACAGAAGAAGCTATGTTGATTATCCTAATTCATAATTAGTTGTCTGTCTACCAGATCTTGTATTGTTGAAGTGTCGCATGAAACAATGTTGTAAAGGGAAGAGAGTTATCTTTTATGGATTTCAGCCTCAATTGTCTGTGCGCCTAAGACGAGGTATACAGCTCCAGTAGCTGTTCTTGCAGGCATTGACTGGAAATTTCTTAAAAAAATTTTTTATGAAAGCGTGACAAGATGTCCAATTGCTTCTGGTTAAGTGGTAGAATCTCCATACCATACGACAGACGTGGAATGACGTAGCTCTGATATATTTTATAAGAAGTTTACGGATTAAGACCGTTTGTGCCATGCAGTCCAGTGTTCATCAAGGAATACAACGTTCTTCTAGCAATGCTGATACGTGCTTCGATGTTTACTTCATTTTCCTTTATTTCTGCTCTTATTAGACCAAGTTGTGAAGTATCTTCTGAAGGATATACAGAGTTGTTGCCTAATGTCCATTGTAAATCAGATCTGTTAACTTTTAGGTTTATTTAAGATGACTGCCTTAGCCTTTGAAGGATTGATGGTTACTCTAGATTGGTTGGCATGATGATTTGTTACGGAGAGCATACATTGCAATTCCTGTTCGCAGTTGCTAATGAAGGCTACATCGTCTGCTCATGTAGGACAGCCAACATAAGTTGTGCCGATTTTAAGTCCTAAGCTATGAGATTTAAGATCCTCAAGGAGATCGTTGACATATACTTTGTAGAGAAATGGTGAGAGGATTCCACTCGGGCGTACCCCTTGATGAATATGGAAGCTATCGCCAATGTTTCCTTTTCATTTGACCTTTGAGACCAGACCACTGTATAAGTTTTTTACTACAGTCCACAATGAATGGTTTTGTGTGTGTTCATGTAGTTCGTCCAGCATTATAATATGATCCACTACATCAAATGCTTTCTGACCGTCAACAGTAATCAGATACAGAGGTTTAATTGTGATATGTTTAACTTCTGCTCTAGCCTAGTGATAATTAGCCCAGCCATAAGCATAGACATGCCCTTTGTAAATCCAAATTGAAGAGTTGACTGTTTAAAATTCTGAGTCAGAGATGGCAGTATGGTACATTCAAAGAGCTTTGAAACAACAGGTGTGACGGCAATTCCCCTGTAGTTGTCCATCATCATTGGATTTTTCCCTTTTTTTAGCACGGGTATTACAATGCCAGATTTAAATATGTGTGGAATAAAATTATCTTTCATGATAGTATTAAAACAGTCTGTAAGAAATTGTGTAACTATTGCTGGAGAGTTTTTAAAATGTTCAGCAGTGAGACCTAATTCATATGTTGCCTTGCCGGAATGAAGCTGTGTAATGGCACCGCATATATTTGAGTGCTGAATTCGGTTGTAATATTTTCCTGTTCGCACAGTTGTTGGATGATTTTGTGCCGGACATTACATAGGTCTAGAAATTCTGGGTCATATCCTTTGTCTGTTTGATCAGTGGCAGAGTACTGAAATTCACCATTTTCCATTATGCACATCGAGTCCTTGTTTCTGTTGCCTCTATTACGACGGATTAGCCTATGGAACATTTCGTTGCTTGGATTGTCCATCACTTCTTTGTAAAATTGAGCCCTATCTATGTATTGTTCTCTTCTCATTTGTTTTCTTAGATTGCGTGGAGCCAAAATTTTGTCCGTCTTGAAGTGGTCGTCATGTTTACCATGCGATTTCCAAAGATAATATTTTTTCTTACATATTTGAAGTAGGCTGAGGGTTGTTGGTGATGCCTTGAATTTAGGACCTTTCAGTTTGATGATTTTGGATGGAACGGCAACTGCTGCGGCTTTTTTCAAACAGTTGCACAGAAATTGAATGTTTTCTTCCAAAAAGTGGCTTTCTATCTTGTATTGAGTAAGTTCTTCATTTATGAGAGTATTAAAGGATTCAGAGTCTAGATCTTTCCATTGAAGTTTGAGTTGCCTTGCAAAGTTTGGTTTGACTATTCTTTGTTTAACGTTTGATTTTACTTCAACAGGCACATGACTTGAAGTATTTGATGGACATCTATCATGTGTTTTATAGTTTTATAGATAATTGTAGAGGTGGTATTGTCTAGAATATAGTCTATTTGAGGACAGGACAGTCCAGAATGGTGGAAGAAAGTTGATTTGTCAGTACAGCTCTGTTTTAAGTTCATTTCCTGCACAAATGCTTGTAGCAGTCTGTCATTTTTGTTATCATTTCTCGGAGGCTTTAAAGTTCCATTGAAATCTCCCGCTATGATAATTCTATGGATTGCTGAAAATGCCGAAAAGATGGAGCTAATGATATCGAGACATTCAGTATATTCCAGATAAGAGTCTCCAGAGTTGTTTGTAGGCATATAGACACAGATAATACATAAGTAAAACGGAGATTTTAGTTCAACTGCTATAACCCTGTTGTTTCCGGATTGAATTTCTTGAACGGATGGCGTCAGATGATTTTTCCGAGTTATTGCAACACCCCCTTTCCATCTTGGCAGTTTAAAATTATCAATTTCCTCATTGGTGTCACTGCATCTTATGTACATGTCCATATTAGGTCGTATCCAGCTGCGCTCGACGAAGCAGTTTATTATTCTACATTATCAAATTAATGGATGTTGGGATGTGTTTTTTAGTTACACAAGTATGATATAATCTCATACACATCAGTTAGGGTTCATGCCAAGGCAGTATTTTATATAACAAAAACAGTCTACACTCAACACGTGGGAAATAAACACTTTAACAGTATAATGGCGGCGGCGACTGAAAACTCGTCAAGTCACGTATCAAAACCTCCATCAAAATTCTCCGATTGTATAATGGGCGACGATTTTGATCAAATGTTCGAAGACATGCCTGTAAATAATGACCCTTCAAAACTGAAATTGCAGTCGAACACCCATAGTGTGATGGCAATACTAACAATGTAACATTTAAAACTTCACCGTCACGAATTGAACTGTGGAAATAAAACCAATTATAAGCCAATTTGGTCAATCTAAAACCACATTACTGGAAGAAGGTTCAGTTATCAAAGTGGCATGTGACATCATCACTGATAAAAACTGTTCAATAAAGATTAACTTTTCAACACAGGTTCAGTAGTCATTCAAGGTGCCAAATGTTAATCATTTGCAGATCAATATTTTTTCAAAACTTAAAAGCAAAATTGACTCCGACATTGACAATGAGGCGTTTATCAACAACCATGACAACACAGCTGTCGATATACATGATGTAAGCGATAATGATGGTAGTCAAACAAAACAGAAACAGTTAAATGCTGATGCAATAGATTCTAACAATAATTCTACTGGAACCAAGTCGGATGCAGTAGATGACAACAAAACATCAACACCCTCCAAAGAAAGGAAATCGTCAGTCAATAATCTGTCTACTCCTAAAGATTGTGTTCTACAAAATGGCAAGTCAATAAACCACAGATGTACCGAAATTCATACAATTTTATCAACCAGGGATAACTTCACAAAATTTTTGTAAATATGCTATCAGATTATGATTAGAATTTGATGTTCACGGAAATCAAAACGTGTATAGACTATAATAGGGACGATTTAGAACTTGGCTTATTGCAAAGAAATCTGTCCATAGTTGAAAACTGTTGGTTGCCTGATAAGATCTAGAGCCCCTGGAAAGGGTTTACAGATAGGAGAATGATTGAAAAAAGTTAAACAATATAGAATAATGAGATGACAAAATATAACGAATAGAAAAGTAGCCTATAAGATTACAGATATGAAGACCTCCATACAATCTCTCTTATAATAGATGGCATTTTGTGTTTATATTAACTTGGTTGACGCTTTGTTATAACATTAACCTACATATTTTATTCATAATGTACAATATGATGACGACAAATTAAACGAACATTATCTTATTACTTCCTTTAATTGCAACATAAACACAGTTTAAATATAGTTTAAAATGCGAGTAAGTTCAATTTTTCAAAATAAGATCCACTGTGGACGTTTTACAAGATAACGCCATTTTTGCGGTAAAGATAACATAAATCTGAACCTGGGATCCTCAAAGATATCCTGTCTGTAACGTGAAGATGGTAATGTAGTGTCAGATCTAAATCCTTCTTGTCCACAACAGGATGTATCAGTGCAGGTTCGTCTGACACATGCGCAATCGCAAACAGCTCTACAGGCAGCACATCCTCCAAATCCACCTGGGGCTCCTGTTGTTCCTGTCACAAATGGCTGTTCTTGTACTGAAGTTAGACAAAATATGATTCATTTTGAAATTATTAAAACAAAGGATATCTGTGTAAAGTGTCATATTCAAGCTTCAAAAAATCTGTTAAATCAACTTCATTTAGCCTGACGCAGAGTTAGCATATATAAAATATATTGCTGTCATATGCATGTGTAAATAACCAAGCATTATTACCGGCAATAACATCGGGAAATATTTTATTTATTGTAAATGCATTTTGTTGAGGCATTTTGATTATCATCTCAAACCAATCACAGTGGCTGATAATTTTCAACTTTATATTGATAAATTATAGATCATTCACGCATTGGTATTAGAAGTAGAAAATACCCACTCGCAATCTTTATTTTTTTTATAAGATTTTATTATTCATCTGTGAGGAAAGTATCACCTGCTTAATCTATAATCATCCATAAAATCATCATAGATACCAGGATTAGAATTTTGTACGCTAGACGCGCGTTTCGTCTACAAAGACTCATCAGTGACGCTCAAATCAAAAAATATAAAAAGGCCAAATAAAGAACAAAGTTGAAGAGCATTGGAGATCTTTTATTCCGAAAGGTTTTGCCAAATACAGCTAAAGAAATCTATTCCTGGATTAGAAAATCCTCAGTATTTTCAAATATTCAAAGTTTTGTTAACAGTTAATATACAGTTATGAACCATATCAATGATATTTCATGTCAACACCAAAGTGCTTAAGAGACATCCGTCTTAGCGATAAATAATTTACAGAATAATTTTACGTAGTGTAGATCAAAAGTTAATCACTATAGTTTCACATGTTGACCACAATTTGCTTACCCTTCTTGAACACCTGAGATCACCCTTAGTTTTTAGTGGGGTTCGTTTTCCTCAGTCTTTAGTTTTCTATAATTGTGTTTTGTACACTGTTGTTCGTCTTTAGGTTTCTTTTCTTTTTTTTGAAAATGGCGTTGTCAGTTTAAATTTGACTTAAGTTTGAATGTCCCTTTGGTATCTATTGTCTCTTCTTTTCAAGCTTATAATACTCCATTAATTGCATACAAAAGAACAAACAGTTAAAACAAACTTAATGTAATTCTATTCAAGGGGATTTTCTTTTACCTGTGTTAATATGTCCAAATGCATGCATAAGATCTCCTTTATCATTTAGGGAATATATAAAATTAAAACAGTGAACGGTTCTGTCCTTATCTTGATATTAGAATAAGGAGCTGTTTAATAAGGTAAAAACTCTAGAGTAAGGTCTTGTTACCATAATCATATCATACGTTTTTAAACAATATTAAACATTACTGTACATTCTGCGAAACATATTTTTAACCTCCACATCAGCATTTTAAAAACGTTTGAAATGACCAGGAGCTCCTGACATTATCGATTTTTACAAAAGTCTATATACATGATCAAACATGGTTTTCTTTCTCAAAATAAAAGAACATAGAAATAGCTTCGTAAATCGATTTAAAAACATGAAAACAAAGTATGAAATTTGATTTTTTCCCATTTCCCATTATTTACTCCCAATTGGTTACTTGAGTATTAGAAGGGAATGTCCACCTCGGCTTTGACGGATATAAGGTAGCATATGTGTATTGCTGACATTTGAATAATTGTTATATTCCGTTTTAACTTGTGTGTAAAACAAAAAAAATACAGAGAGACATACCCAAATGTTTACTATTGATGCCCAAGCACCAACTAGCGGAAACACATGGCCAAGAATACAAAAGAGGAAACCTTATACATGTGTTCTCATATTATGTGAATAACAATTAAAAATGAGAATTAAGTACTTACACCGTATACCGTAACTTGTAACAAATCCAGAACTATTGAAAAGAACGAACAAAAATGAAATAAGAAAGACTCCCATTCTAATTTCCGACAAATAATTAACCATTGTATATATTTCGTAATAGCAAAATACAAAGTCTTCTTAACAAATAAATACTTAGAGATACATCATTATCTATACATTGTACCGATGTAACATGTCGGTCTTATATGAGGGTCTGTAACTACAATTGTATGACCTGAATGACAAAGAGGAATTAAGCAGCCTAATTTCAAAGTCAATTTAATATGAGTATTCAGTATTTAACATTAAATCTATAGAACGTAAACGTATAGCAGACGCTATTTGTTTTTACAATTGCTATTGTGAGTTTTTTTTATAACAACGAATGCGATATTTAAAGTTTACTTCTCTTAGAACACAAATGTTCAACCACAATATTTGCTAGCAAAGGATTCATTTTGTTCAATTTGTAGTTAGGTGTGTAGTGTTTTTCGTACCTTAAAATTGTACTGTTATTCTAGATTAAAGGGACTTAAGCTTTTAGATCTTAGGCAATTTCTTGACATGTCGGAATTTGTTAACGTTTCCGTTCGTCGTTATTCTTTCTACCATGTTGTTTAGGGTCTTCATCTTTTTTTTATACTCCCGCAGAACGTATTATGCCATACCGTTATCTATCTGTCTGGTTGTTCATCCGACTCTTTGTCCGCTCCTCTGTCCATACGCCGTGCCAAAATTTAAGAATGCTTTGAATAGGCATAGGAAACTTGTATGGAATATCTATATCATTGAATTGGAAGAAAGCTTCCCTACGGCATTTAAAATTTCCCAGGTTTGTCGTTTTAGAGGTTTTTTTTACAATATCTCATACCTCGATTTTCAAACTTTTAGTAATTGTTATTCCAGAGTTAAAAATAATATATATAATACGAAAAAAACTGTAAAATTTATGGTATACCCATTATTGATACCTGATAAAAGTAAGTTGACCAGCAAATGTTACAATACACATATTCATGAGGGTCTGAGTGGTACTGCTACTAATATTGTGTACGATATCGAATGTAACACTTGTTGGACTGATACAAGAAGGTGAAACACTTTTAGACTTAACTAAAGAATAAATGATCCCCGGTCTAATCGAAATGATCTAGATAAGAATAAATTTCTGTATAACACTTTCACCAGCTTGGCCATTCCATTGTTTCTATGAAAGTCATGATTAAAGAAAAAACATATCATTCGACAAATAACCCCATGTTGAGTACAAATTATGACTTGCAAAGAGCAGATTTCTGGATTCGAGAATTTGGAACAGCTATCAATTACGAAAGATATTAGGTGTAAGCAGCAACTCTCTATCAAGGGAATCATGATAGGAAATGCAAGTTCTGGAATATCGTCTCCATTGGGAGATATATACTCCATATGCTGGCGCTTCTGGAATGCGCTACATAGGAATGGAAATTTCACAATTGGGAAGTATAAAAAAGGAAATATTCGAACCAATCAACAACATACCAATATTAATAACCTGCATATGTTGCCAAATTATGAAGCACGTGGTTACTAGCAATAAAATGTGTCATGCGGACAGAAACAACATTTTGTTTGATTAACAACATTTATTTAGAAAGAAACCGTCATGCAAAACTCAGAATTTATTGATGAAACCAAAGATAATCCTGCTAATGACCAGCTGACTGTCTGGTCATAGACATTTCCTATATAAAAAAATAGGGATATTCTGTATATATTGCACTGACATATGATATACGCATTTAACGAAATATTCTAAAATGACGCTCTTCGTTCCGGCATCACTGATGAGTCTTTTGTAAACGAAACGAAACACGCGTCTTCAAAATTTCAATCCTGGTATACATGTATCACTGATACATTTATTTATAACCACTGGGTTGATACCACTGCTGATGGATGTTTCCTCCATGAGGGTATCACCAGCCCATTAGTCAGCACTTCTGTGTTGACATAAATTATTATTGATATGGTCATAATTAAAAATCAACTGTTTACAAAACTTTGAACTTTTAGAAATACTAAGGATTTTTCTACCCCAGCAATTAATTACCTTAGCTGTATTTGGCAAAAAATTTCGGAGTTTTGGTGTCTCGAGGCTCTATAAATTCGTACCTTATTTGGCCTTTTTAACTTTTTTGATTCGAGCGTCACTGATGAGTCTTGTAGACGAAAAGCGCGTCTGGCGTACAACATTTCAATCTTGGCAGCTATGATGAGTTTATTTATAACCACTGGGTCGATGGCACTGCTGGTGGCGATTTCCTCCCGAGGGTATCACCAGCCCATTAGTCAGCACTACTGTGTTGACATGAATAATAATTGATATGGTCGTAATTATAAATTAACTGTTTTATTTTTCGAAATATTAAGGGAATAGATTACCTTAACTGCATTTGGCAAACCTTTCGTAATTTTGGGTCCTCAACGCTCTTCAACTTCGTATTTTATTTGTCCTTTTTAACTTTTTTATTCGAACGTCAGTGATGAGTGTCTTGTAGACGAAACGTGCGTCTGTCGTACAAACATTCAATCATGGTATGTATGATGAGTTTATTTGTAAACAAAGCCATGTTTTGCACGTTCGTGACGTCACAATTTAATTGTAATATAAGGAAATTAATTAAAATAAAACTATTCTAAATTTCTGATTTTTAATCGTATAATGTTTTTTTATAACGTTTTTGCTTCATCAAATCAAAATGGCTGCCTTTCGAATATGTCTTAAAGGTACAAAGTACAAAAGTTCAGAATTTTCCAGTTTTACAATTGAAATAAAATTTTCATGTCATGCTCTTTGTCATTTAACATGGGTAGGCATTCTATTATTCAAACATTTTACACATCCTAAGATGAGCATAGTAGTGCTATGTATAGGGTATATAGAACTGATTGCCCTCCTGAGCTTTGACAGATATAAGGTAGCTTAAGTGTATTGGTGACTTTTGTAAAATTGTCCTACCCTTTTCACTTATACCTCATTTCAGAATTTCACTGAATATTAATGACGGATTACGAGCCAGTGGAAGCGCTTTGAATTTGTCATTTATACCAGAATTCTAAAATTATGAGTCATTTCAAGAGGGATGCATGTAGAGAGACGATCTTCTACTCTGAATATCCATGACCGAGCACCAGCTAGCATTAATACTCTGTCATAAATACAAAAGGCAATCTTTTATACAAATAAATTCATATTATAATATTAAGTGAAGAACAGTTTATAAATGTTAATTAAGGACTTATGTATATTAAAGAACGAACATTTATGAAATTAGAAATTTACGGCTTCAGTCCTAGTTTCCGCCATGAAATTAAACTTTATACATGTTTCGTAATCAGAATTAGTGAAGTTACTTCAAGTTCATCTTTATAGAAAAAAATAAATACTTAAAGATCATTCATATACATTTTACTGATTTAACATGTTGGTTTTGAATGAGGGTCTATAAGGACAATCGTATGTATTCACGGCTATCATTCATTCGGTATATCGAGAAAAATGATCGTGAAATAACAAGTAACGGTGGTCAAGTCTTGCGATTGGGTCGTGAAAATTCTGGTATAGGATCGTGATGGAAATCTTATTGAGAAGACACATGCAAAGTCAGTAAAATTATAATCAAATTTAATGAATTATAATGACAAATATTAGAAAAATAGAACTGTTTGTCAAAATGGTTCAACATTACGATCAGTATCCGAGAAAAATCAAGGTTTAAAAGTACACCGTTTCTACAAAACTACAAAAGGCAAATTGCTCATCGAAGTTTCAGAGAAATAATAATGTAAATAAACATGTTTTTTTTCATGGTTCTTAAAGTTATTTTGTTTTAATTTAATCAGAAGCTTTGTAAAATGGGAATATTTGTAAAAATTTGATATTTCGGATCGTGAAAGATCGGGTACCGTTATTTAATGATCTTGAAAGAGACCGTGAAAGATCTGTTGCCGCTTATTTGTTATTGCAAAAATCAACGAATCATATCGTTCTTTAAACACATTATGATTTAAATTTGTAATTGGTACATCAAAAGATTGGATTTTCATGACTTATTCAGTTTCAGTTTTGTTTGTGAATAGGGCTATGATGGTCCAATGCCATTCGATCTGATTATTTGATAATACCACACCGACTAGTTGCTCTATTACAATACAAGTCCGTCTGTCCGTCCTGCATAAGTTTTATGTCGTATGAAAAGTTAAGATTGTCTTCTTTGATTTCCATTAATTTGTATGCAATGTCATATCTTTAAAACGAAGATCCTTATTGATTTTTGTAAATATTGGGAAAAACACTGTTTAAAAAAACTGTAGGAAAACAGCTGTCATATTCCTGACTTGGCACAGGCATTTTCCTAATAAAATGGTGGGTTAAACCCAAACAAACATAATTGGTTAACGTGGCCATAACTGGGATCCAGCAGTCAAAACTGGGTAAACATACATCACGGGCATACAACACATCTGAATTAAACGTTCAAACACGTCGTATATAATTAAATCAAACAAAGAAGCTAACAAAAAATTTAATACAGTCAGTATAGTAAAACATAATACACTTTCCAGATAAAATACAAAATAAGTAAGTTAAATATAAATGCAAGGTTATACAAAATGTAAAACAACACTATAAAACATCATGTGTCCAAATCGTATTTCGGGGCAAACCCGTATTACGAACGAAGAAAGCCAAAAACCTGAAAGCTGGATGCACATATACCGAACCACATCAAGAGTCATGCGATCAAATGGAAAATAGTACAAAGACAAATAAAGGTAAAACTATAAATAGATAAAAACTCCACACAGAGTCAACACCTAGAATTTATAACTCAAGACCATCCGCTACGCCTCGCTAGATCAACTCAATTTGCGACAGTAAAATCTACGTTTTACGAAGGCCAAGCTTAAATTACAATACAGTTATCTCCTAATTGTTTTCTGATCATAAAGTCTGGTCACGCCATGTCTTTCACGATCTAAGTAGTGCGTTGCTCGATCCTTCACGATAAATTTTGATTAAAAATCAACAAAGTTATACTTTTTTCAAACATAATATGAACTTTTCCAAGTAATAACGCACTTTTATTTTACTGGACTATCTTACACAATCTCCTTATTTTTATACAGAAGATCTTTAACAATTATCTGGGACCAGCAATAATTATGCTAGGACAGCTTGTAAATTTGAATATACATGTTTCAGGTCATCTGAAAATCACTCTATTAGGAACTGTAGAAAAATGTAAGGTATTTTAGTTTTTCTCATTGGGATATTCCCCTGTTTGTTAATGAAGTTGAATATCTTTTCAAAAAAAAAAGAAGGAAGAAACCCTTAATTTTCGATTTGGTTTCAAATTGCAAATATTTTGGTTCGCGGAGTAACCAACATGTTTCATATGATAAAAAAAAAGAAAGAAATCAGAGTGTGAATTTGCGCACTGAGCTTGTCAAAGAAAATGAGTGTAACAATTGCCAAATCCCTCGTCCAAATTTTAGTTTTTCCACTTTGAAATATATTTTCGAAGTGATGTCATACCCGATTCTTTTTAAATATTATATCCTGAGTCCTGCTGCGTTAATTATACGGTATTGGCATTAAGCTGGAAAATGAGTGAACCTCCAGGTAGCTAAGTACCGGATATCATTTTCCATACGATCTCTCTATTATAATAAAGTTGCAATGAACGTAGAGGATTTTAACTTTCATTGATTGCCTATCAGTAAAGCACAGGCCTTATCTTGTCTGCACACAAAAAAATCATACTGTGGCCATATCCATCCATAATATTTGTTATTTGTCTTTAACATTGACCAAACAAAAAGGATCTAATATTATATTGTACACAAACTAAGGGAGCTGCCATTTGATTTTTATGGTGGGGGGGGGGGGGGGGGGTGGGGCTAGGATGAAAAATTTTGGGTCCTGCAATTTTTTATAGTTGTAATCTCTGTCCTGCCTTTTTATTTTTCACTCTATTCGGTCCTGCCTTTTTTTTTTACATAAATTGTCATCCTGCCTTTTTTTTTTTGCAAAGTGTCTCATCCTGCCTTTTTTTTACTCAAAACACATGTCCTGCCTATTTTTTTTTCAAATTTCATCCTAGCCCCCCCATAAAAATTAAATGGTAGCTCCCTAAGCATGGGTCAGGATATGGGTCGACCGTACATGAAACGTCTGCATAACAGAACATAATACTAGAGTATAAGATACAAAATGTACAGTGTATCAATACAAGACACGAAAACACTTCATGGACATGGAAAAAAAACAAATCAAAGGAGCAGCGTCCTAATTGCTGTTTTTCATTTCAAAGTCACAGTGAGGTCTGACGACCGCCATTTTGAATCTTTGATTAATAATGAATTTCCCCTTTATAAACCTTACACAATATAGAAAACACGTTCGGTTACCTATACATTTGTACATGTTATTACATTTTGGAAACTATGGAAACTAGATTTCGGTACATTAAAAATAATGCCTGTAGTCTAACTTTATATCATACTAACTTAAACAAAAAAAAATCTTGATTTACCTCTCCAGATTTATGGGACTTTTGCTTTCGGATTTAAGGCAATTTTTAACATGTCGAGAACCAACTCGAGTATATAATAAATCGATGTACTTTATACTCTATATATGGGGCTAATTGATTTCTGTATTCTTTAATTGTTTAGCTCATTTTTCTCTATTCTTTCATTTTTTTGCCCTATTTTCTCTATTTTTTATATTTTTTTCCCATTATTCTGCACTTTTTGCACATTATTCTATATTCTATAAACCCCATCCAGACCCTCATGTATTTTTTGTGATTGATGAGATTCAGTTTGTAATGTTCATATTAATAAATAAAAAAAACTATGACAGATTTTGTAATATTCAGAAGTAAATAATTTTGAACCTTAACATTTTTTTCAATTTATTTTATACTACGATTTAAATCTTTAGATTCATAAGTTTTAATCTGCCGTAACTTCATGTGGCGGTCTCAAATCCATTGAACAAGACGAACGATTTTCCATCAAAATACAGGTAATTAAATTGTCTTGTAATACAAAGGAAAAATCTTCACTGGCACTTGAAGACGGGATTTCGTGTTCTCACTGAAATAGTTAATTTTTAATTGAATGGCTGTGGATGATTTTATATAATTAGTTAAAATATTAAATATTTCAGAATTTAAATCTTTTTGGGTTGATCGACATGGAAGAGTTTTCCTTTAAATCTTTGCAATTTTAAAAACGTAATTGTATAATGATCAGTCAGTTTAATTGGAGGTCAAATACGACATATGTTTCATACGACAAGAAATGAATGGACTAACGTTAAATACACGGTAGGATGTACTTCCCAGCGAAAACTGTCTTCCTTTATAGGTCTTTCCCTGATAACAACCATCAGCGAATTCTTATTTGAAGAATGTAATGCTTAAGGCAGATCTTTGATAGTCTGTGTAGATCTGTGTATAATTGTCTTACATTTTTCTGGACAATTTAAAGTTTGACATGTGGTTCTGACGCCGGCGACCCTATATTGCTCTCAAGATAACTTGGTTACTTAATTGTGACGTTGAGTTGCTGTCCCAATGACGTATATCCGACACCTCCTTTTATTCTAATAAAAGTGCAGAATTAAATTCTTGACGGTTTTCAAATTTCAGTTGATGTATTTTTGATTGATTTGTCTTCCTTTATACATAGGAAAGAGGTAAATCAATGAGATATGATGGTGATATACCGCATTCGGCATACCTCGGCAGATATCACATCTGGGGGTTAGTCTAGATGTAGGGTAGTGGAATCTGCCGAGGTTTGCCGACTGCAATATACCGATGTCCAGTTAAGGTACACACCTTAAGAAAGGAAGATAAGTCTTTCAATCAGTAGTTAAGGGATGACCATTAGATTTTCTGGAGGGACAGGAGGATTTTGAAATGGAATCTCCAGGCCTGGAAAGAGCTAAAAATAAATGATGTGTGTACAAAAGTGAAAATAAATTTTTGCGCGGAAAAAATAAGCATGCGTAGTATCATGAAAATAAATATACATATATAGTCAATCCGCAAGAAATCCTATGGCCACCACTCCCACCCGCGAAAATATCAAATGGTCGTCCTCTTAGTTTGCTTTATAGCATCATTACTTCCTTTTGAACATTCACGAGAAATAGAATTAAGCAATAAATCTATGTTACATGGAGGCTAAAATTATACAGATTTACACTAGGCTTATGCACCTTAACTTAAGTATGCTCCCATAATATATTACACTTGCAGGTATACAACGGCACATATTAGAGGGAAAACAAATACAGTCATAATAATAATCGTATTACATGTATACAGGTCTACGCTAAAATGAGGTATAGTATAACTTATTCAGGCAAGTCAGGAGCCTATAGTTCAGTGGATTTTGTTTGTAGCTGTATATCATATTTGTTTTTAGTTTATTGTTTTGTACATAAATCAGACCGTTAGTTTTCTCGTTTGAATTGTTTTACAATTGTCGTTTCGGGGCTTTTTATAGCTTGCTATGCGGTATGCGTTTTGCTCATTGTTGAAGGTCGTAAGGTGACCTATTATGGTTGATAACTTCTACGTCCTTTGATTTTTGGTGGGTAGTTGTCTCATTGGCAATCATATCACATCTTCTTATTTTTAGATAAACGACAGTAAGGGTTTCACACACATTGCTCAATATAACAATAAGGATACTAATGATACAACCAAAGGCCTAGGATGTAAATTGATTGATTGATTTGTGTTTAACGCCACTTTCAGCACTATCGTGCAATTTCGTGTTGGTCAGTTGCTATTGGTGGAGGAAGTCAGAGTGCCAGAAGAGAACCACCGACCTTCGACTAGGTCACTGTAACGTGCCAGTGCTAACAAAAGTGTGCATGTTTCTAAGACATATTGAAAAAATATTTTCATAATTCATAGCATGTTACAATAACTTCATATCCACGTTGCAATTAAGAATTTTGCAAACAAATCAACCAAATATGGTATATTTCAGTTTTATTGTATGATATCACTTATTTATTTATTGTGTGTCTTATATAGATATAATAAGATGTGGTATGAGTGCCAATGAGACAACTCTCCATCCAAGTCAAAATTTATAAAAGTAAACCATTATAGGTCACAGTACGGTCTTCAACACGGAGCCTTGACTCACACCCAATAGTAAGCTATAAAGGGCCCCAAAAAATTACTAGTGTAAAACCATTCAAACGGGAAAACCAACGGTCTAATCTATATAAAAAACGAGAAACGACTTGCTTGTAAATGTATAAGTATATATGTAATTGTTAATGTATAATTGTTATCCTCTTGTAGCACCATACGTGTGCCTAAGTTGTAAATAAATTGTATTGTATTGTATTGTTGACAATGATGTAAACAAATACAGTAACTAGTAAGTTTACATGTTTGGAAAATAAAAGAAAACAATGTTAAAGTGTCATTATTCGTACAGTTGACATCATTCTAAACGCTAAAAACGCCGAAAATATGATACTTAGCCATCTCTATCCAGGTGTGACGATGGACCAGCAGGCCCAGCTCTGTACAAGTGGTTTGTTAACATATCAATGGTTATTTGCGACACATGTATTCCTAAATCATATGACGGTGTCCGTAACGCTATCTAAGAGATGACTTCAACTTTACCATCAAGAACACTTGGGTATATGACTACTTTTTCAGCAGCAACCTCTCTCAAAGAAATCATGATACATATAGGAAAATTTTCACGTGAGTTTGACATCTATAAGCTCGTTTGAAGTGAATCTCACGTGAGATTCATGCGTAATACAAACGTCGAAGAGCAGATTAAACCCAACACTGACCAATTTTATGGCCAAATCTGGACAAAGTTCACAATTGGAAAATGAAATCATCTCTTGTGTCGCAATCATATGACAAATTTCATTTTTTTTCTACATATATATATGAAAACCCAAAGACAAACAAGGGTTTAATCAACAGTATGTTTCTTATGAAATACATGCATAGACATTTAAACTTCTTGTAGAAAATTTACTACAATCAGAGACATTTAATACAATTATTGTATTATATGTCCCTGTTACAATATTTTCTGTGTACAATAAACCACACGAAGGATGGCGGAAGTGTAAGTAATATTGCTAAATCATTTAATATCATAGATGTTTTTACAAAATATATGTACTGTGTGTTCCATGCAGAGATGGGTCTGATTACTTTCAATGTAATTGATTAAGGTGGTACCCAACACCTTGACTAATATTAATTTGGCTCGTTTAATTTTCATAAAATTTTGACAAAAATGTTTACTTTGACCCTTTGACAAAAATATAAAAATTTCAAAAAATTTGAACCAACCACTTTATCAAAATTTCATTGGTTATATAGCAGTTTGACAAACACTAATTTTGATCATTGAGAAGCTTAATATTTCCTTAACAATACAAGGTAATTAAAACGTTTAGCTGATTTTTACAGAGTTATCTCCCTGTAGTGTTAGGTACCACCTTAAATTACAATTACTTTCAAATTGTCATTTGTACGATTAAATTAGATTAATGATTACACCATTTCTCAAAGTAGCTAATTAAATTAATGATTACTTTGGCAAGTAATCATGATTACATATGATAACAATGAATTTCAAAATAACCCATTTGGATGATGTTAATGAATAAAGGTTATAACTGTAGCACGTTTTGAGAAAGGATTTTTATTTGATATGTGGATTAAACAGGGTTGTAAAAAAACCGGGTTTTATGAGTATTGCCCAGCCCAGTGGGAAATACTGGGAAAACCAGGCTTTTACTAGGTAATACTGGGCAATACTGGGTAAAAATAGCATAAAATATTAGCCTGAATCTTAAAGATTCATTGTTTAATTAACAAATATGATACATAAAAGATATATATTAGACATAGTATTTGAATTTATTAGTTCACTTGTTTCAGACTTTTATTACAAAGTGTATAAATCTGTGAAAGTTGTGGTCCAGCAACTCTTAAATAACACAGAGTAAATATACTCCTATTAAAAATCTATCAAATTGCTGTTCAGTCTAACTTGGCCAAACTGTTGACATGAAGCTAACTAATCAATGTGTTCTGTTTTATATATATTATGAATAAACAAACAATTATATGTAAGGAAAATGATTTTAAAACAAATTTTGTTCATTGATAAAAATGTTTAAAAAGTTGAAGCATAGTTATACTTACATCACTAATTGATAAGTAATTATTCAGATTATAAAACAGATTTGTTTACGTATTAGATACAATCAGCCTTTTTATTTTTAAAAGTGTCCCTGACATGTCCCTTTAGGCTGTTTATTTAGCAATTTGATTCAATTATAAACACTCAAATGCACCTGTTTAAAGTTTGGATTATTTAAACAAAGCTTAACAAGTAAGCCAAAAATGTGCAAATCCTAATTGTAATCTGTGCTTACATCATTGAAGGAAAGGAAGAAATTGATTTTTTTCCCACTAAAAATGTCTCTCTGAATGTTTTTCTGTACAAAATGTATATATTTAGATATAATACTATGAACTACAGCATGTCTTTACAATTCTGTGTAAGAATAAGCTTAAACAATCATATTGCCCAGTTTTACCTATTTCTGGGAGTATTGCCCAGCCCAGGAAAACCTGGGCCCAGGTATTACTTTGCCAACCCGGTTATTTCTACCTTTCAATATGTAATGATGTCCTAAGAAAACAAGTTTAAAAAAAATCATTTAAATAACATTTTGTTGGTATCAAATTACATGTACATCCACATTTCATAATATTTTAACATGCTTAAAGTCAACAAAACTATGTTAGCAAGTTATATATTTATTAAACATGAATAATAAAAACGTTCATTTAACACATGATATATATTCAACATAAACACAACTTGAGATTTTTTTCCGTTTTAATCAGAATGTAATCAAAAAGGACTCAGGATTACAAGGTACATGTATTTTTAAAGTAATTGTTTAAATTAAATTACATGTAATCAGATTTTTGGATGATTAATGATTACAGTGATTACCTGAAAAATTGTAATCGATTACAGCTGATTAATGATGACAATTACAATTATCCCAAGCCTGGTTCCATGACTGATCACAGGGAAGTCTATTTTTGGCAAAGATAACTTTTAAACGTGTTGTTTCCAATTTTTAAATCACTGGGTCGATACCTCTGCTGGTGGACTATCAGTCCCCGAGGGTATCGTCAGCTCAGTAGTCAGTACTTCGGTACTGACATGATTGATAACAAACTTTTTTTCTAAATTTGTCCGTTTATAAATTTTGAAATTATAAAGAAACTAAGGTTTCAACTCCCTCAGGCAAAGTTGACCTTAGATGAATTTGGCTATTTGTTTTAGGTATTTTTGTCATAAAGCTCTTCAACTGTTTCGGTACTTATACATCCCTCGGATTTCAAATGTTTGGCATTAAGCGTTCCTGATGAAGGTTAATCCAGAAAAGCGCTTCGGACGCATGGAATTTTTAAACGTGTTGTTTCCAATTTTTTAGGGATACGTTTGATAACAAAATTAGTTCTTCGATCGAAAGTATACATGTGTGATGTTAATATTTACAGCGTAAACAACAGAGAGAGAGAGAGAGAGAGAGAGAGAGAGAGAGAGAGAGAGAGAGAGAGAGATTATGTCAGTAACCAACAAAACTTTATCATTATCTTAATGTGCTTATATGTATCATATTTTCACAATATTTCCTGTTCAAATATGAAAAAAAAACATAACTGAAATATGATTTCACTATAGGAACTTCAAGGTCAAAGCATACAGTAAAAACATACTAAAACGACGTCTATTATATCCAAAATCGTAAAGGGTTTCGCACAATTTTGTGTCTCGCATGCATTTGCAATTGCCAGTCTAAAGGTGCGATGTTGACTGCATAAAACTAAGCCAATCTATCAATGAAATACGTACAAAATTAAAGAAATCGAATTCCTTTCTTCAGATGACAATTCCTGATCTTGAAGAAGCTTCTGTTCAAATTTCATAACATTCCATGATAGTATAACAAAGTTATTGATGCCTAACAAATTTTAAAAATCCAAAACTGCAGGTTAATGTTAACTGCAAAAATAAAATAAGTCCGTTTATTAGTAAAATATGGCAAAATGGAGAAAAACAATCTTAATTTTGCTTCAAACGTTATCTTTTAATTATTAAAAATCTTCAAAAAATTCTACTAAGGTTTGACAAAGTTATTTAAACTTTAACACCATAATTTTGAATCTAAATGTAAACTGGAAAAAAAGTAAGTCTTTTCATCAGTTAAATACGGTAAAATTTTACTTTGGATACTGTCTTTTGATAATAAAACAGCTCCTTTCCACGTCTCATTAAATTCAATGAAGATTTGACAAAGTTATTGATGTCCGAAAAGGTTTGACAACAGACTGAACCTAAATGTTGATGACACCGGAGTGTAAGATCACTATGTCTCGCTTCAGTGACACGATGAGAGATTGATCTTAGTCCTGTTGATGAAAACGATGTAGAAACGAAGAAATCTTTGGACAATATCAAGACTTTCTAGATAAGCGTGTAAATGAAAACAGAATGTTAAAAATATTAGTTTAGGATTGTAATGTCACTTTTCTTTCGAGGATCAAGCTAGAAGCGTTATTAATGGTAATTGCTTGTCCTTAAATAGTTATTAGTTTTTGAAGTACAATCAATATGCACTAGGAACACTAATAAATAACATAGTTAGTAGAACATATCCTGCATTTGCAAATTGCACAAATGTGTATAAGCCCTACATTTGCAAATTGCACAAATGTATATAAGCAAGCTCTAGTGTTAAATTTGTGACAAAGCAGACGGGTTCTCATCTTTCCAATCGGTGTTTCGAGTAAGCACGAATTCACGGTTTGACATCACACGGATACATTTGAGGAGGTTTGTTAATAAAAATCAAAAGACAAAATTATGGTTATTCATTTTTTATTAGATACACACGTCAGCATGAATTATCAAGTATAATAGTATTATCATCTTATATTTATATTTCAGAGGAACTTTTTTAGTTGTTACGAAATCGCACTTTGACAACCGCTTTCATATAGTAGCATTTGATGGTCAAAAACTTTTTGATATAAACCTGCAAGATGATTATGTGAATGCTATACAGCCGGGTAAAATTTATCAATTTAAAGTTGTGTATCATCGTAATCCAACTTCCATCGCAGCAAAGACAATCAGTGTGCAAGGGCAACCAAAACCTATACCAATGCCCCCATTTGGCATGTTCAGTGCGCTCGGAAAATTGGCTTACACTGCCTTTCATGATATATTTAAGGTGTCACACGAAGAACCATATCTGGACGTCGGAAGTAATATCCCTCCGCCAAAAGCATATCTTTGCCAAGGAGACTGCATAAAGAAACAGCTAATGCCTGATGGTAAAACGAGATGTCTTATCAGCATAGATAGTCGGGAAATGAACCTGCAGTATGCTGGGTATGGCATAAATGGTGTTCATTTGGATAGCTTTGATGGATTACCCGTCGAGTATGATCCGAACTTAGCATGGCGAACATATACACTCATATTCCTTGTAGCAGATCCAATTACCGGCTCATGGTATGGACCAAGAAATTACATCATTGTGGCCGCAATATTTTAGTTTTTATAACACCGAGGAAAATATTTAAATATTTTAATTCATTTAATGAAACTTTTATCGTTTAGATAATTTGATATATGCATAATTATGTTTTTTTAATTATATTGAGATATCTTGATAAAACAGACTGTAAGGCACAAATGTTTGTCTTGTTAAGGAGCCATTATTCTTGTGATAAAATCTGTCCTGCACAGACTTTTTGCTTCAGTCAATCCTATACTGTTTAGTGTAAAAATAAGGCGACATCGAATGATTGCCAATGAAACAACTACCCATATAGACCAAAAGGACAAAGATGTGAACAATTAAGGTTCACTGTATGGCCTTCAACAATGAACAAAACTCAGACCGTATAGTAAGGTATAAAAGGCTCCTGTAGAACAAAATGTGCAACAATTCAAAAGATAAAACCTTTTATACGCAATTATCGATTTGCACATATTGATAACAGCTACTAAACTACACTAGCAGAAACTGAATAAATTATAATACCGTTGCATTTTCCAACAAGACTGGTAATTGCATTCTTAATAATTGTTGTAACATTAAATATAGAACGTTGTTTTATTTGAATTTATACAACAAATGACTGGAAACTCGTATTTTCCCCAAATTTGCCTGCTTTTATACTTTGTGAGAAGAAGTCAGAAATACTTCGAACTAGTTAGAAGGAATCGACAGGGGTGAGGGAACACGGGTATGAGGGAGTCAGAGGAGGGAGGAGGGAGTCAGAGGGCTGGAAAAATGAGTCAGAGAGCGGGAACTGGGGGGAAGAGGCCGGCTAGGGGAGTAAAATAGGGATATTCCGAGGAAAGGCTTTTGACCGATTTTCGTCTGGAAGTTAGGGAAAGGGAAGAGGGATTAGGGGGAGGGAATTGAGAGTAGGCTGGAGGGAAGTGGGAGTTTGGGTGGTAGGGAAGTGGGAACCAGGGACTCCCTTGTCCACCCATCTACTTAGGTACCGACCATTCATTTGTTAGGGGGGGGGGGGGGCATTTTTATTTTTATCAAATTATTTGATTCTGAATTTCTTGAGAAAAAAATGAATTGTTTCAGAAGGGAAGTGAAAATAATAGTTGATTCCATTGAAAATTAGGAAAAAAATGAAATTCAACATTGAGTTTCAAATTTTTTTTATGTTCCTGTATAAATGGAAATAACACTTTATTAATTTCGTGAACCCGAAGTGCTTTTCTGGATTTACCTTCATCAGGAACGCTCAAAACCATACCTTTGAAAGTATAGGATGTATAAGATATGAACACATGAAGAGCTACATGACCGAAAAGGAAATAAAAATTAGCCAAATTCATCAAAGGTCTGATGGAGTTGGAATCTTAGTTTCTTAACAATTTCTTAATTTATTAACGGAAAATTTAAGAAAATTTTGTTAAAAATCATGTCGGTACCGAAGCACTGACTACTGAGTTGATGATACTCTCTGGAACTAACAGTATGTATGTTTAAGTTTTGATTAAAGTAGAAAAAATGTTTGTCCCAAGGACGGACAAAACCCATTCCCCATCCCCACATGATATGAATGGTCTGTGCCTCTATTAAAAGGCATTCACAATATGGATATAACATGAAATAAGATATTACTTGTTAAACAATAAAATATTATCTTGTTTCCAATAAGTATGAGCAGGTTTGACAATCTCAGGAGTAGCAGAAGAGTGGTAGAGAAAAGAATCCGAAACTAATAAAATTGAGAATGGAAGACTAGTTACATTGTTACACAAATGTAATGAGGAAAATGCGAGTTGTAGAGAAAAGAATCCGAAACTACGAATAGTTACATTGATTGTTCATGAGAAAATACCAGTACATAAGAGTGTATGAATTTGAACGGAATTTCAATGCAGAAAAAATAAAAAAATAAATATTTTAGTCTTCGTTTAAGCTATAAATTAGCGAATTGATGTTCATTTCCTAAAAATACCCGTTGCAATGATTGAGCAGATACTATATAATAAACATTACCTTTATAGACCAGAAAAAAGAATTGAAGGATTCATTTCCTTTTTTGTTATAACATTTAACATAAAAGTATTTACTTAATAAATGATAACACATTAAAAAAAATGGGTATAAAATACAATTTATTTTAATAAATTCGTGTCGTTTAGTAGGAATAATAATTGAAAAATGAAATATATGTCATAAAATTGAGTAACATATTTTCAAATTTATGATATCTTTATTCTGCTGTATAAGATTTACAGTAATGAAAATGTTACATTCATTGAAATTTGAGACATCATGGCAAACATACACATAACGAACCAACTGAGAAATCCACACTCAAGAAGGAGAAGACATCATAACTATAGAAAGGCAAATTATATATAGGAACGGAAAAGGCTTCCTGTTTGATTTTGATATGAAGATTACCTGACCATGAGACATTCTAATATCAAGGTCTAGAAAAGGAGGAAGGTCACTATTAACGTTGAATTTAATAAGAATGTGTTTACATAGATAAAACTCATTATTATGTATTGAAAAATCTGAATTGAGAATAAATCTGCAGGTCTTCTTGGAAATATCTATCAAGTTGTTTTTCGTCTTGTCTTCGTTGGAAGTTCTGCCATAAACTGCGATTCATAACAGGTTAATAACATAAAAAGGGGCAAAGTTCATGTAAGATCCCGATTGGATATCAATTACTTGGTGGCATACTTTCTCCAACACGAAAATAATTATAAATTTCATGCTAAACAGCTAATGACTTTCATCATTACGTATAACTGTCAATGAAGACAAACTGACCAGTAGTATAGTATACAGAGTAGGGAAATCATACGTGTAACTGTCAGTGGAGACAAACTGACCTTCACAGGAGCGTATATTGTGTGGTAGTATAGTATACAGGGTAGGGAAATCATACGTATAACAGTCAATGAAGACAAACTGACCGGTAGTATAGTATACAGAGTAGGGAAATCATACTTGTAACTGTCAATGGAGACAAACTGACCTTCACAGGAGCGTAGATTGTGTGGTAGTATAGTATACAGGGTAGGTAAATCTTACGTGTAACTGTCAATGAAGATAAACTGACCCGTAGTATAGTATACAGAGTAGGGAAATTTTACGTGTAACTGTCAATGAAGATACACTGACCTTCACAGGAGCGTAGATTGTGTGGTAGTAAAGTATAGAGAGTGGGGAAATCATACGTTTAGCTGTCAATGAAGACAAACTGACCTTCACAGGATCGTAGATTGTCTAAGATTGTGTGTTAGAATAGTATACAGAGTAGGGAAATCTTACGTATAACTGTCAATGAAGACAAACTGACCTTCACAGGAGAGTAGATTGTCTAAGATTGTGTGGTAGTATAGAATACAGAATAGGGAAATCATACGTTTAACTGTCAGTGGAGACAAACTGACCTTCACAGGAGAGTAGATTGTCTAAGATTGTGTGGTACTATATTATACAGAGTAGGGAAATCATACGTTTAACTGTCAATGAAGACAAACTAACCGGTAGTATAGTATACGGAGTAAGGAAATCATACGTGTAACTGTCAATGAAGACAAATTGACCTGCACAGGAGCGTAGATTCTGTGGTAGTATAGTATACAGGGTAGGGAAATCATGCGTGTAACTGTCAATGAAGACAAACTGACCTTCACAGGAGCGTAGATTGTCTAAGATAACTCATCAGATATAAGAGACAAAAATTAGTAGTAAATATACAGGGGAAAATTTGTGGCCTAAAGAAATCTGCGTTTTGATAAGTAACGACAGGACTTTTACTGTGTCAAATTATATTACATATTGGATTTCATTAATACAAGTTTTTCTTCTTGCAGGTTCTAGTCCTCTTACTAGAAGACGTATCGTTGCATTCACTGCAGAGTTGTCACTAACTTTGAAACTAGGGACGAACCAGGCTGTGGTATATAACGAAGTTTTGCTTAACAAAGGAAACGCTTACAATAAATATCATGGTCATTTTACTGCACCTGTAACAGGAATCTATCTTTTATCAGCCAGTATATTTGTTAAACAAGTAGGAAGGCACGTGTTATTAGATATGGTCCACAATGGTAACACAATTGCTGTTTTAAGAGCTGGAAGCTATTATAACACACAGTCGTCTAGAAGTTTTCCAGTTATGTTACAAAGAGGTGATCAAGTGTGGATGCGAACATCTCCAGGATCCGTTGGTTATATTTTACTAGGAAAAGCGAATTCTCTTTATAATTCATTTTCTGGTGTTCTTTTGAATTAGTTTTGATGGTTTTATGCTGCTTTACTCACATTGTGTGAAATGAAATTATTATACACTACTACTTATATTACAACTATTAATTGTTCTGCTGTAACTAATATTACTACTACTACTTATAATAAAGAGATTCAAGTATAATGAAATAAAATTGATTTTTTAATTCAAAAAGAAATATAGTTCATATATTTACTTTCAACATGAAATTATAGAATGTTTAAAACTAAATTTCAGCATCTTAAATGCGAACTTTATACACTTAACTCCTAAAAAAACGAACAGCTGAATAAGATATAGATACATTTTTCCGAATATTTTCTAATAATACAGAAGTGTCACATATGTGACAGTACTATGGTACTTTTATCTTCACCCTTTTATTAATGGTCTATTGTGGTACCGAGGCCTTCAATCAAGCACATGATTATGTTTTACATATTGCCTTGGCAATTGATAACAGATGTTTATACAATTTTCTTGAGTTTGTGTCTCGTTTCAATTTCATTTCACTTTTTATCCTTACGGTATAAATTATTTACGCTGCTTTTTGAAGATAAAATTTCTAATCATTATCGTTTAAAGGTTGTTATAACAAGCTACTTGATTGGTATGATATGAATGTGTCACAAATCATCAAAAACATACTGTATCTCCCTAACTACAAATAGTCCTTTTACCGATATGGACACTCACAAAGTTTCGCCATTTATCGATTTCGACACGTGAGCAAAGCAGGATCTGTCTTTTGCCCGTAGTATATTGTATATCGGTTCAAAATTTTAATGGGAGTTCGTATTGCAAGAGCTTCTATTTCCCCGTGGCATAAATCTGTTTATACACTCATACATCCTGGAATACCATGTCTATTTCTCTTTTGGTTTTTCTTTTATCGGCTCCTTGTTACTTGAGACCATTTTGTTCTTGAGTTTATCATTGAAGAGGTCAGTAGTAGG